AGGTGTGCAGTTAACAAATAGACTGGCTTGGTCACTCAACAGTGAGACACTGGTGAAATGGGCACAGCAGCGCCTGCATGTTCTGCATCGCATGAGAAAAGCTCATCTTCCTTTCCCTGTCCTTACCACTTTCTACAGAGGGACAATCGAGAGCATCCTATCATACAGCATCACAGTCTGGTTTAAAAGTATCACTGCTTCAGACAGGAAGGCGGTGCAGAGAGTGGTGAGGATGGCTGAAAAGATTATTGGCAGTTCCCTCCCTTCCATCCAGGACATAGCACATAAGCGTTGCTTGAGCAGGGTCCACAAGATTGTCTGGGACACTACACATCCTCTTCACGACCTGTTTTCTTTGTTACCTTCTGGGAGGAGGCTGCATGGTAGAACATCCGGATTCAGTCACAGTTTTGTTCCATACAGTGTTAACCTTGTGAATTCTAAAGCTTCCTCCTTCCGTTATGTATTCAAGATGGACAATATTTAATATTTATTTGCTACGTATATGTAAGGGTGTAGGTCTATACATATGTTGTATATGGTATGTTTAATTGTGTGTTATGTATGTGTACACTTTGACAGCAAGCAACTAAATTTCATTTTTAATGTGAGCCATTGTGCCCATAGAAAAAAATGACAATAAAGGTTATCTAACTAATATGTAAAAGGTATTTCAGCTCACAGAAGGAAGGAAGATATAGGAAGCATTTCAGAAGGGACTCCCTCTAATTTCCCAGAAAGGAAAGCGGGAGAGAAATGCTTCAAACTTGCAAGATTTTGTTAATGTAACCTTACAAGAGAGATAAAGTTGGTACTCATTGTTCTGCTTCTGGTCTGTACTTCCTTGAGGAGTGTTGGAATATTCATGAGCAGGAAGAGTCATGTGGTAACTCAGTCAGCTAATGTGAAGTAAGTGCTACTGAGTCTGTGCAAAAAAGGTATTGAGTTAGGAGCTGGATTTCCAGTCTCTGGTTTGTCTCTGTATCTCTCTGGAAGAAGTCTTCATTTGTGCTATGTAAAGAAGAATGTACGGTATTGTAAATATTTTTATATGAATATAAAGAAGTTATTTTGAATCAGCTAAATGCAGTCAACTGTGAGAGCTTCTGATTTATTTTTTCACCAATAGAGAAATTAAAATTCTCTAACAAAGAGCTAACATCAAATGACATAAAAAGACTACATTGCACATATGTAGGCTAAACAGTGGCTGAAAAACACATGCACACAGAAATATATAAAGGCACCTTTACATGGAGAGCCTTTAGTTTTCCTGTATCTCCTACTAGGAAATTCACTGAGTCAACACAAGAGTCAACAGTATCTCACAAAATGCCGGGCCTGCACTATGCCAATCAAATTGTTTGGCAAGTTGTCTCCTTTGCTTTCTAACAGTTACAAAAGCATTTATCAATATATAAGCACTTGGCTAAACCTTTTCATTCTCCTGTACAATATCTTGGAGGAGCTTTATCAGGCACTTTGGCAATATTAGTACTTTCTCAACTTGTTGAAAATATTTCGCAGGTTTAGAGGAACCACACCTGGCAGACAAGCACTGCGGATCTTAGCCAATTCTAAGTGTGAAAAGAGAATAGAGGTGGGGAAAGGAAAGATAGCAGTTGCTAGCTACTCAGTATTTTATTTATTAAACAAATTTATACTGTTCCCCCAACTCATACACGGTGATTCTGGGTGACATACAGCAATGTAAAGCCCCACTTTAAAACCTCAACACCTCATCTCCTCCCCTTCCCATGGTGTCAAGCGCAATCAAACAAGCCACTTGATTGGCTTTGTATCAACCCAGGGTCCCCAAGCCCACTGACAGAACCATGTCTTCAGGACTATTTGAAAAAGTAATAAAATAGGGACTAATCTTATGTGTGGGAGAATGTGAGAGAGAGAGGGAGGGAAGGAGGGAGGGAGGGGGAGAGAGAGAGAGAGAGAGGGAGAGGGAGAGAGGGAGGGAGACTCTAGAGAAGCCTCTTCTTCTTGGTCCCAGAGAAGTATTTCCTTAATAGATGGGACCCACAATGTGCTCTGCGCTCTGGTGGGCTGGGTAGATGTAACTGGGAAAAGGCTACCTTTTAAGTAACCTGGCCCCAAGACATGTAGGGCTTTAAAGAGGATAACCAGAAGCTTGAATTGCACCCAGAAGCAAAGTGGCAATCTGTACAGTGCCTGTAAAGGAGGTGACACATGCATAAATTTGGGCTTTGGCAAAACTATCTGGGCCACTGCATTTTGAGCCAACTGAAGCTTCTGGATACTCTTCAAGATCGGGCCCATGTAAGTGGGAACATAATGGCCATAGTGCGGGTGACTTGTGAGAAGGACTAGTTGGTTCAGGAACATGCACACAACACACAGTTGTGCAAAAGCCCTCCTGGACATGATTGCCTCCCACTCCTCAAGAAGTCCAGGAGAACTCCCAGATTAAGCACCACATCTGCCTGAGGCAGTGCAACTGCAACCCCATCTATGAGCAAAGATGGTAATTCCCCACAAGCCAAAGAGCCCCAACACCCAAAGCCACTCTGTCTTGCTAGGGTTCAGTTTTAACCTTTGCTCCCCACCCAGACCTCAACAGCCTCCAGGCACCGAGAGAGGGCGACTGCAGTATCGCTTATCTGACCATGGGTGAGATGTACAGTTGAGTATCATCAGCATACTGATGACATATCTCACCCCAGAGTGGTGGAGGATCTCACCCAGCAGTTTCATACAGATGAATGGAGAAAGCACTGATCCCTGCAGGTCTTTTGCTCCTGATCAACAGCCACTGGAAACAGCCTTGGAGGAAGGAAGTAAACCGGGACAATATTGTGTCCCCCACTTCCGGCCCCTCAAGCTGTTCCAGAAAGATACCATGGTTGACGGTATCAAAAGCCAGTTAGAAGTCAAGTAGACAGATGAACTACCCCCATCTTGTTCCCGCCAGAGAGCATCATACTCAGTAGTAGCTGCTAACATCGCGAGCCAATTTCTTAAATGGAAGAACTGACAGGACAGCAATGGAAGAATTGGCCTGGAAGCAAAAAGGCAAATGCTTGAAATATTATATTTTGGGCAACAAAATTTCAAAGGCAACAGGAGTAATCATAGCTTTATTTCAGCATTGGTTCATGTTGAGATTATCGTCAGTATGTCTGAATAAATTCAGGAGGAAAGGCAAGGAATGAAGCACTTCATTAGTACAGTAACCTCTTACAGATCTAAGCAGTTCCACAAGAATCTAGATTAATTTCTGCCAGGCAAAATACTGGATAGGTCATTAGTTTGATTCATGGTGACTCTTTCCTTGCACACATTGAATTTTTGCAAAGGAAATGAGGAATTATTTGGACTGGAACAAAATAGTATTCAGGATACATTATGCTACTCATATAATACTGGTATTATGCTGTCCTAAAAATGTAAAAGTGAACCAGTTTGGTATCCTGGTTAAGACACTAGGATAAACACTGGGAAACTGTGAGAAAGCACAAAGCCAGCTGCATGACTTTAAGCCAGTCACTCACTTTCAGCCTGAGGAAGCAGGCAATGGCAAACCACTTACAAAAATCTTGCCATGAAATTGCAGGGACTAGTCAAGGCTGTTGTCAGGAGTCAACAACTGACTCAATGACACACAAACCCACATTCAGTAAAAGATCTTTTCTGACCTGATTGCTATACACTGTCAAAAATAATATTGTTTGTGCTGGATGGCCCTATAAATCCATTAAACAAACAAACAAGCGGTCAGCTTTAGCTATATATGATGTATCCAATATAACTAATCAATTTCAAAGAGTGGGTGGTTTTCTTGCTGCATTTACACATTTCATACCTGTTTTCAAGAGTAAATTTAGAAAGATGGAAAACCCACATGGAAATCAGCTTTATTTTCCAGACTCACAAATTATTCCTTTGCTATCAGGGCTACCAATTACATAGCTACACAACATGGCGCAAATCTATTTCATCTTATACATTGATAATACATTTTGAAGAGTAAGTTCAAAACACATCACATTTTTGCCTGGATTTGCAATGTTTAAAAAAACCCACATAACATTTCCATGAGTTTTTGTGTTCAGTTTTCTAACCAGGTTGGATTGTCCTGTAGGACATGGCTATTCCACACTCACTTTTGCCCAGGCCATGCTGAATGAATCTTCATAGTGTTATTTTTGATCAGAATTCTAACTGAATGACAAACTGGCCCTTCACCATTTTGCTCCCCCTTGTACAAACATTGCTGGCGATGGGAAGAAGAGAACAAAGAGGGGATTATAACAGAGCTTTTCTTTTCCTAGGATGAAATAAGTCTAGGCTGCAGTCTCAATTCACAGAGAGCTGCCCCCCAAATAAACAGTGCTGGTGTGAAACGTCTTACAAGGCTGGCTCTTCTTAATTTTACCACCCCACACTTCTGTTTAAAAAGAATTCTATGCCACACTTCTGTTTAAAAAGAATTCTATGGTTTTAGGTGGCTTAAAAAATATAGGTATGTGGCCTAACATATTTTTAAATAGGACGAACATGAAAGGGAGAGTAAGGAGATGGCATGCATCTAAATAAGCAGCAGTTCTGTTTTCCTTTTGCTACCTGAAGGTCCAAATAAAAGTTTAAATGGTATAGGCTTTCCTGCTTGAGCAGGGGGTTGGACTAGATGACCTCCAAGGTCCCTTCCAACAACTTCTTCTTCTTCTTCTTCTTCTTCTTCATCATCATCATAATAATATTGTATTCACAATGCTGATGCATTAGGCTAGCCCAGAGGTAGGCAACCTCGGCTCTTTTATGACTCATGGACTTCAACTCCCAGAATTCCTGAGTCAGCTGACTCAGGAATTCTGGGAATTGAAGTCCATGAGTCATAAAAGAACCAAAGTTGCCTACCCCCGGGCTAGCCAGACAGTAGTATTGTAGTAGAATGTAGCCATTCATAATACACACCCACAACACGCTGCAATCCAGAAACACTCTAGAATGAGACAAGAATCAGGAAATGTTTTTCTCTGTGGACTACATTTATTTGATTCTATGAAAATACAAGTCCCTTTCAACATTCACAAGGAATTTGATTCTATGAAAATACAAGTCCCTTTCAACATTCACAAGGGATATATATATATATATCTCTACTTGAAAGACAGAAAATGGCAGAGGCTCCCTAGATGGAAATCGTTGTCAAATAAATGCCTTTTTCTAAGGAACTGTTTCAAATTTACTCCTGCATCCATTAGATTTACAGAGGTTATCCAATGTTTCCAGTTTAAATTCAGGCTACTACTACAGCAACAGTTACAAAGCTCTTATTTACCCACTATGAAGAGCTGTGGCAGCATGCATGTTTATTGAGATAGTGCAGCCCTAGTCTGTCAAAGGCTCTCAGTGGGAAAGGGGGCAAATCCATTTCGCAGCAGATCTGGAGGAATTAGATAAAGAAGACTTCTCCCAACTTGTGCATATTAAGGAGTAGCGGTAGCAGACATCAGGCTCAGGTAGCTTTTCGAACATAAAAAAGATAAAGCTAGGCAGAACCAATTGCTACTAAGCTCAAGGCAAAAAACACCCGCAGGCTGATAGCGCACTGTGCGTTGCCATTTACACACACTCCTCATATGTGCAGTGCCAAAGGCAAAAAAGCGGCACATACCAGGAAAGAAGCAATGTTTTTCAAAGAGGGTACGCCTTAACGGTGAGACTAAGTAGCAGGCTTTTTGAAGGATCTCTTGCTGCAGTGCCTGGAGAATCAGTATTCTTGTCCTTGGGCAAGTAACTCAAAACGTAAACACTACTGCGTTAAGCGTTTAAGACGAGCGGGTGCTTGCTCGGATTAGGGTCATGAATGCAGTTTGGCACGTTGAACCCATACAGGTATATATGGATCAGAAAACTCACTGGGCACATCAGGCGAAGCAACTAGTTTCTCCTTCACTAGCACAGTAGCAACTTTGCACTAGATGTTGCAGACACAAAATTACTGAAGCATGTTGTTCAGATCATTCGCCTACTTCACTTTGTAGCTAGCTGCGGGACAACAAATGCGTGGAGAGACAATTATGACAGAGACTTCTTGTTTTGCGATCCTAAGGACAGCATGAAGTTATTTAGATCACCCTTGTCCTTTTTTTAGTGCAAAGATCACCAGGGAGATAATAATAATATTCTCCTGCTTTCAATCAAATCATGCCAATGGCACCTAAAAAGCCAAATCCCCCTCTAATCTGTAAAGTCTCCCCCAGCCCCAGTCACAGACCTAGAAAGGCCATCTTTAATGCACTTCCCGTTAGTGGGCATCTATGTGGAACCTTCCTTTGTTGGGCCTTTTAATACACCCTCGAAACTCCAGGGCTCAATTGAAGGTCTAATAAGGCAGGAGCTCTAGTGGGAAGAATGGGAAAGACATAGCCACAAAAGGTATTTCTATTCCACACTATTCTTCCCTTCAATCAATTAGCTGGCTCCCGGAGCTATCTCTGGAAACGCTTTATAAATCTCTTGGATTATCATTTTGTCCATCTGGCACTGCTGACTGTCTTCTGCTTCCACCATGATGCGCTGCAAGGTCCCCTGCAGGTCAGTTACACGGTGTTTATGCTGCAGGTATGGGGTAGTCCGCATGATAGCGTGCATCAGAGACAGGTACTCCATTCGCAGCTGTAAGAGCAGAAGACAGTGGAAACATTTTGAGAAAGAAGAGAAACTGGAGTGGGGGCAGCCTTCTGGAAAGGCAAATACTTTGGAAAGAGTCAGTCCTTGTAAGGGCAGGAACTCCTTCAGAAGCCATTAGAATAGACTTGAAAGAGTTCTTGAGTGGTCCTTGTTTTCATGTTCATCTAGATAAATGGGTGATTTTTTTCCCTCAAAGTAGTTTGAGGGAGCCATTTGGCTGGATTGTTTTTCATATTTACTTAGGCTGTATGATAAAAAAGGAACTAAAAGTTATATTGAGATTTCCCTTTCAAGCCCTTCTCTCTCTTTGAAAGAAAAATACATGGGCTCAATGTCAACTCCCCATTTCCACCCAAATCCAGATTTTGAGGCAGCTGATAATCTATAAAGGACAGCTGCAATCCTCATGGTTCACCTGTCACAGGGCAATCACAGAGTGAACTCCCAAAACATAGCAGTTAGTCGCTTGCATTTATTAGACTAGAAATGTAGACTTTAAAACATTTGAGCTGAATCTGTCACTTAGAATGTTCATCCTTCAGACACATTCTTTAAAAAAATATTCCAAATCATTTTATTTAGGATGCACAATCATACCAGATTCATATTCCCTACAATGAGACTGAGAATCAAAGACATCTGTACCCATTTAAGATTTCTTTTGCATATGCTATGAAGACGTTGGGTCCTTTCAAAGGGAGTATTCTGAGCTGTAACATCTTTAAATCCATTATGGCTTCATATTTTAGTGGTGACATCTTTTAATTGGCTTTTGGGGGCAATGCTGAACCTACATCATTAATGTAATTCTATATACTATTACTACCAGAAAGGGTATTTCTGATACCCAGCAAGTGTAAATTTAGAGTACAATTATTTGTAGGCAGTAATTCCAAGATATAAATAAAAATAAATGTTACTGGATATTTCATGCAAGTTAAACTTATCATTGCTTTAGTTAGATTGCAACTGCCCTTGATTTTTACTTTAAGAAAAGAGTACAATGTATAGGATTGCATTGGTTAAATGCCCTTAAAGTTGCTTTATTATATACATTTGTGTTTCCTTTAAATAACATTTTGAAAAGGGAAGAAAAAGAACAGTTTACTTATATGTTCAGCAAGAAATTGTATCCCAATCATTCCTCCATTAAGAAAAGGAAAATCTTCTACTGGCACTGAAGAAAATCTCTTCTTGTTCTTTTTATTTCCTCTGTCTCAGCTACATGGGAAAAGTTCAAGAATGGAGCAAGCAATTAAAACTTCCTCTCCGTGTGCAAAGTGGTCCTAATTTGAATCAAAATCCTGTGCATGTCACTTTAGGTAATTAGGCACATAATTAATGCAATTTGTAGCCTGACTATTGCCTACTATAGAAATTTAATTTAATTTAAACCTAAATGAGATCTTATTAATCTATTCAACTCTGTAGATATGAGACTACTATACATGCTTTAGAACAGCCTCTGGCTCTCCAGATGTTCCTGAACCACAATCCTTCATCACTGATTGTGCTGACTAGGGCAGCTGGAGTTGTAGTTTAGTGATATTGGAGACCACTTATTCCTTTCCCCATTCTAAAGCAGAGAAGAGAGAGAAGCTTCATGTACGCCCCAAACATTCATCTCGTAATGTTTTCTCTCTTGAGGAGAAAGATCTAGAACTACCTTTCCTCCTGTAGGTTTACCTTTTCTCCAGGGGAGAGATCCGAAATCTGTCGCACAATTATGTCAATCATTACCATCATGTCTGTGTGGTAGAAGATGCTCGCTGTGTCCTTGCAAGCAAAGATGTCTTGAAGAAATTTCAACACAGAATGTGGAGGCTGGGGCTGATGTTTAAAGATGCATATAGGATCATCTGGTAAAAGGATAGAAAGGGGGATATATTCTGTCATGCGCTGCTACTTCTCATTTAGGTAAAAGGGAGCCACTTACTCCATAAAACACGGTACAGGCATTACGCTAGTATTTGTTCAGACCAATCCAGCAAGGATTTTGGAAGGAAGTGTGTGCATGAATGAGCAATGCAGGCAGATCAAATACTTCCAAGCCACAGCTTACATCCTTTTATTAAAGAAAATTATTCCAGAGAGGAAACATTAGATAGAGTTAACTGACTCCAGCTACAATGACAGCAGATGTATCAATAAAGCATAACATTTTGTGTGCTTTTTAATTATCCAGGTTAATTGTCTGAAAGAGAACATTTCGGCTCATGAAACTCTTCTGATATTAAAATATTTCTGGTGGAAGGAGCTACATTTACTCAAGTTTCTTCTTGTGCAACATTTCCCTTTTCCAGCAGAATCTCCTTGAGATCTTTGACAATTTCTGGGGTCTTTACTGATAGCCAGATGATGGGATGAAAAGGGAGAGGTTTTTTTTGTTTGTTTGTAGTGCTAAGCTTTGGAGCAGCTAAAGTCACTCTCTCTCAGCCCTAAGAAGGTGGCAATGACAAACCATCTCTGATATCTTGCCAAGGCCTTGACCAGGGAGTCACCAGGAATCAACCCTGACTTTAAAGCACACACACACAAAAGTAATTGAAATAATTTATTTTAAATAATTTTAAATGGGTCAATAGGATCCCTTAATTCAAATTTATATTCTATTCTACAACATATTCTACAACATATTTATAGGCTGTCAATCTTTGCCTTTCCTGGCAATAAAACTATATTCATTAGCCTCTCTCTCCGATACATAATTTTCTACAGCCAGGACCCTGAGCTTTCCTTAAACCTGTCCTTCAATTCATACTTTCGAAAACCCTTTTCTCCTCAGTTCCTCTGTCCATTTGAGGTATAAACTGGAGATGCCAATATCAGTAGAGTACAATAATCATGTAGGGTGCTTGGATTTTTTACAGAACCTAATTTAGAACTACAGTATCTTTCTTTTTCCTACCTAAAGTGATGGGAATCCACAGTACTGGTTTAGTGTAATTTTGGCCACTGAAATCTAATGTCAAAATTCTCTTTTTCATTGAACAATATTGGTATAAGTGGACTACTAAGATGTGTAAATGGGCAAAAAGTGGGTACCTGGCCCTTCACTGCAGAAAATCAGTCTATTTTTTAAGATATGGACTGAACAGCTGTAACATTTCATTTGCCCAATAATAGTGTTTCAATACTCCATTTGGTTTCTATTTGAAAAAATATGAAACCAATGTATATATTCCATGATGTTAAAAAACGTGAATTTTTTTCTACTGGGGAAGCAAAACATCTCTAAAGAGACTTCTAGAGAAAAAATTAATTTGTTACTCAATATTCAGTGGATTCTTCAAAGAATGGACATTTTGGCCATGGAATAAATTAAAGCTCTGTTGAGTAATATAAAACTAAAATCAGCTCTTGGCTGGCAATACGAAAAGAACACAATTTTCATTTTGAAAAGAACTTAAACCAAAAATAAAAGAACCTATTAATCTGCAAGCAAAATAATTTGTTTTAATTTTTCCTTTGTTTTAAAACGAATATACACTTATCTTTCACACACAAACAAATGTAGCCTTTCTGCTCCTAAAGGCATTAAACCGCACAAAGCTTTGTGAGGAAAACATGGATACAATGGTATTAGGCTGTCTAGAAGTAAGGCTTTCCAGATTTTAAATGAAGTGCTTTTCTATAGGCTCTGTAGATTCAGGAGATTAACACAGTGCTCACTGCTGGAAAAAGTAATCCGTGGTTAAACTAATTGAAATATGAAATGGGAGGATTGGGTGGGGGACAGAAAAGGATTCTCTAAGAAGCCAAACTGTAGCTTTCTTATGGCATACAAAGCATATATGGGGAAATAAATCAAGCTATCATGCTGCTCATTTCCTGGGACTGGGAAATTTCACTGGGTGTAGATCATTATCTTCATTGGAAGTCAATGACCAAACTTGTCTGATAAAACTTATGAAGGAAGAAAGCAGAATGTAGCTGGTTTTCATAACCATCAGGAGTGGATGTTCAAGAAGAACAGATAGTCCTCTTTTTGGTTACACATATTAGGAACCATGATCCCAGTGTTGCTGGGTTGAACTCTACACGGACAAATGATTTAGGTAGCCATTTAAAAGCAGACAATTTTAATGGAAACCAAGCCAGCATTTCAGCAGGTCAGTGTCTTGAATGCAAATGCTGGATTCGTTTTCCTGACCCAGACCTTTTAAAAAGCAGAAACCTCCTGGAATTGAGAGGCTGTTTCCCAATCTTTCTCTGCCTCTAGTTTCCTAGATCAACTCTCCCATTAGTTCTGTCTCAAACTGGACAAATAATAAAACAGCAAGATACCTCACCTCCACGATTCAGAAGCAGTAGCAGCTTTTCTGTAAATGTTTTGATATTAGAGTGCTTCTTCACAGTAACCATGATCACATTATGCTCTGGAACTGAGAAACAAGAAGAGGGTTTATTAGAGATAGCTATCTGTCTGCCTGCTTCATTACTTCAGTTGACTGAAGCACATCCTGGGCTGAGTCTGATCCTGAGGTTGTTATTGTTAAGGAAGTAGACGGGGTTCTTAGATCATCTCAATGTCAGATCCTTATCTCTCCAGGCTAGCCAAAGCTGCTTGGTGAAACCTGTGATTTGGTCTAGTTGGCAGTCTTTCAGATCTGCCAACTAAACTTTGAGAAGGATCAGTTTTGCTATCCCTTAAAGAGTCAGCAGTCTGCTCTGTCCTTAAGAAGCCATTCCTAGAGTCAACCATTTTGGACAATTTGCACCCTGTTTATAACCATTCCTTTTTAGAGAAAGTGATTGCTTTGTAGCTTCACAGGGCTCTGTTTCAAATTACCTGAACCCTTTCCAGTAAGGTAGAACTGAAAGAGCATTAGTTGTACTTGTAGATTACATCTGAAGGGAACAGAATGGGAGTAGTGCATTTATTCTTGCTCTCTTTGATCTCCCATCATAAACCATGGTATAATTCTGGACTGACTCAGGATAGATGGGGGTAGGAATTGGGAACATGGAATTATGCTAGTTCTTCTCTTTCTTCCAGGATCTGCCCCATGAATCTTCTTGTGTGGGATGCCTCAGGGCTTGATGTTCTCCTCATTCTTATTTAATATCTACATGAAGTTATCAGGTGAAGTCATCAACAATATAGAATAAGGTATCATTAATATGCTAATGATACTCAGCTAAGTATCTCCATCCCTGGCCAGCCAAGAGATGTTGTTGAGGTTCTGTCTCAGCACCTGGCGTTTGTGGAGGTCTGAACAGGCTTCACTTCAACCCTAGCAGGAAGAAGTGCTGTGGGGGTTAGGATCTCCTGGGTCAATGATTTTCCATCTTTAGTTCTAGATGGAGTTGCACTGCTCCAAACAGAACTGTTATACAGTTTGGAGATCCTTCTTGACTCCTGTCTGAAGAGCAGATGGCAGCCATGGCCAAAGGTCCTTTATAGTACTTTGTATTGTATACCAATTGCACTCTTTCTTGAATCAGTTGATTGTTCATACTTTGGTCACCTCCCAAGTGGATATGCACTGTATATGGGTCTTTAAAAACCAACCAACTTAACTATGACTAAGTTTAATTATGATATCCCTCTATCGAACCAGCTCCTGAATCTTTTATCAGCCTGGAACACATAACTGCATCTATTCTTTATTTGTACAGTTCTACAAGTCAACAACATTTTTTTTTAAATGTGCATTTTTGTCATTATTGATTCCATATTGATTTTATTTATTGAAGGAGTTAATTGATATATAGAACCTGAGCATTATTCATTCTCAAAAAAACAAGCAGGTAACTGTAAGTTGTAAATGAGATGAAACAGAATATTATAAAATAAATTTCATAATAAATAAATAAAAAATAAACCTTAACTCTCATTTTAAGAGTCATAGAACAAAGCACAGAAAACTAAGCCACAGAAACTTTGATAAATTAATGCAAAGTGCTTGAGTTTCATTATTGTTTTAATTTCAGAACAGGCAACCTGGTTGTACAATGTTCATCAGGACTTACTCAGGACTTTTCCAATTTGAATATGCTCTAGCACATTTTGCATTACCACAATATATCCTTTAAAAAATGCTATTTTGGCATCGATTGGCTTATGCTGTGGAATTGTACATGAAGACTTACATCATGACAAACGAGCTGAAATGTTTCTAACTTTCCAAGTCAAAGTTATTCCCCCAAATATTTAAAAAAACTAAGCTGACCTACTCTTTTTTTATTTCAGCTAGAAAGAAGTATGTAGAAAGAGCACAACCAATGCCCCACAGTGGTGACCCACTGGTATTGCTTCTCCTTTAGGAATCTATCTTGCGTCATACACCCTGGGCATGGCTTTTACAGAACCTGCACAAAGATATAGTAACAGATGACGGTATGCTGGACAGTGCCAGCAGCCATCCTTCCTGTCTGTAAAATACTGTTTTAAGTGTTGTTCTTGTTTTGCATACCATCTTAAAATCAAAAGACTAATGGTAACGATATTAAAGACGAACCAGCAAGATGGCTTTCCCTCACCTTGGTCTGAAGGAAAGATTTTTAGCAGGATTTTGTTAAGGTTATGCTTTGATTCAGAGTTTTTTGTGTTTTATTTCTTAACAACGCCCTGCCACTTTTTAAAATTGTTTCAGTAAATATTTATATTTACTTGGTATTTTTAATACATTTATGAGTAGGGCTTTGATGATGGCTCATTTTGATTCAGAAGTTCCTTCGTTCTCTGTATATATGCATTCATGGGCATACTTATATAGCACAGAAGTCTTGTGTTTGACTATGTGTACAAAAACAGGAAGAGAGGCTGATCATTTGTTACTGATCTTTTTTTTGCTGTTAGAATTTGCAATGTCCCCCAGATATTTTAGGCAGTCATTTCAAATACATTTTAATTAAATACTGTGCTTCCATCAGTCGGTCAGAGTAAGATTACAAGAGCAAATTCGTGAGACTCAATATACCCTGTATACAAAGTCCAAAGCAGGTCACTAAGACTTCTGTCAAGGAAGTCCATGTAGCATCTTGAAGTACCTGGATATAAAGCAGACTTTTCAGGCATTAAAATGGATTCAGAAGAATCAAGATAGAGCAGGGGTTCTCAACCTTGGCAACTTTAAGACTTGTGGACTTCAACTCCCAGAATTCCTCAGCCAGTTGAAGTCCACAAGTCTTAAAGTTGCCAAGGTTGAGAACCCCTGAGATAGAGTGTTTTATTTAAACACTGACACAATGGCCCAGTAAAGAGAATGAGCATCTTCTAATGAGTGCCTGATTAGGAGAAGTTTCAGTTTTCCACTGTATCACAAACAGAAAAGAATATTTCCCAAAGCTGTGTAGTCCTGCAGATGTGACTGGCTAATTTCTAATTAAGACGCATAACGAAGGAAGAAAGATAATGAATAAAAGAGCAAAGAAAGTGAACTGGATCAGGTCACATGATTAATTCTGTATGTCAAGGGAAAAAAACACACATCACCATCCAAATACTAATGATGTTTTCCTTATCTATATGACAAGCTGCTGGATATAATAAGTGGTTTTTTTTATTCCTTCCTCCATCAAAATGATGCAATGTGGGATGGCATCATTTATAAATGCATTAAGCAATTAAGATATGACAGCTAACATGTGACAGTGTAAGAACTTGCCAAATTGCTTGGGATTAAGAGGTAAAACGACATCAGAGCATAATGTGTCTTGCTTTTTTTTTTTTTTTTAAATAAAGCTTGCAATCACTACCAGCCAGAATAAGTTAAGCTGCTTCCCAAAAGGTTTTCAGCCTGGCCAGAATATGAAAGAGCAGTACTTTCCAGAAGAAAGTACTATCCAATAGAGTATCTTTGTAAAAGAGACTCCAATGCTTCTACAGTTAATGAGATTCACAAGGCACAGCAAGGGATAAGCAGAAAATCTGCCACTTGCTAAAAGGAGGAAGAGGTTAACTGCAGAATTACACTGACAGGAGTCTTGTGAAGTGCTCTCTCCCTTAAAACAGAGGTTACTGAAGTTTTAACCCATGCAACTCAGGCTTTTTACACACCAGCAGGACTGTGAAGTGGTATTATAACATGGAAGGTGGTCCCGTGCTAAGCAGAACTGATATCTTATCTCACTATTACAACTCTGAATTTCTAGTTGCAAAATGAAAGATTATGGGACCCACGCTCTTCCACACATGCTTTAGTCATATGGGAAAGCAGCAGAAGCAAAAGGACCTCTGATTCAAGATGAATCATTCCTATGGGATGAGAATGAAATGACTGCACTGTAATACATTAATGAGGGTACAGGAGTACACAATAGCCTGTCAAAAGGCTAATTAAGAGGTGACATGACAGGGGCTTATAAATAATCATGTGCGCAATTAAAAGAGAAAACGCTTCTTCACCCTCCCCTCAAAATACTAGAACATAAATTTATTTCATGAGTGCTGGATTCAGATTAAAGATATAGTTCTTAATTTACAATATAGTTAATTGTAGAATATGGTGGCTGCCATAGACTTCAATGGATTCAGGCGAAGTCATGAGGAACGTAGCTACCTAGTTATGATGGGGATGTAATCATATCCAGGGTTAAAGGCAGTGTGCTTCTGCCCAGTAATTTTTGTTTTAATTTTGAAGCCTGAGGAAGCTATACATGTGCAGCCTTTGCACAAGGAGAAATTCTCTTACAAAGCAATTTTCTATCTCTAGATAAAAATATTTGGGGGGAGAAAAGAGGTATTTAGGAATAGGAGAGGATGGCAACAATACTCTGAGTGGGGAGGAACAGACGCAGGCTCAATCCAGCCAAGACTGAGTGCTGTGGCTGTTTGGACTCCTAGGATCTGAATTCTTTTTTTCACTTTTTGTCTTGGATGGGGTGGGACTAGCATGTAACTTGAGGGTCTTCCTTAAGTCACAGTTATTGCTTCAATAGCATTATAAAGGTGCAGTGTGTTTGTCCCCTGGTTTACATTTGTACAAATAGGATTACATGGGAGAAGGTCTTTTAGGAAACAATTCCAACCATGCTCACCAATGGGACAATTTTTCAGATGTTCTGTGGGCACTGTGCTGCCATCCCAAGGTTAGCTTTTTATACCTGGTAAGTTTAAGAAAAAAGTTTAGCCTTCCTTAAGAGTATCTGCCCTCTTACTATTCTGAAGCATAGAATATCCCTTATCCTACAACATGTGCAAACTGAGGCCATTTTCAAGTTAGCATATGACAAGGAAAAGAAGTTCCACATTAACTGAAACCCCAATATAATCTCAGCTGGGAAAAACCTCCACCACTGACCTGGAATGTGAAGATTAAAAGCCAGAAGAACATTAATGAACAGATCAGGCAGCTGGTCTGTACTATCTGAGGGCAATCCATCTTCAATCACATGTAATAGGAACTGAATAAATTGGGAATTGAGATGCTCTGTGGAAAAAAAAAATAAAGGACATAGACATTGCATTTTTACATAGAAAGGATTAACTCTAACAGGAGATGAGTGTTAGCCTTACTGGTTAAAAACAGCCATTCTCGAAGCTAGTTGGCACTTGATTAAGGTGGTGAGATGTGTAGGAGAGGAAATTCCACTTTATTTGTAGACCTATACCAGGGGTAGGCAACCTCGGCTCTTTTATGTCTCATGGACTTCAACTCCCAGAATTCCTGAGTCAGCACAGCTGACTCAGGAATTTTGGGAGTTGAAGTCCATGAGTCATAAAAGAGCCGAGGTTGCCTACCCCTGACCTATACCATGAACTCCTGTGGAAGATTTATAAAGTGGTGGGTGGGAAGAGCACAGTTTGGAGGGGAGAATGATATGCTTTAGAGGGAAGACTTGTTCATTATTGCTTTTCTTGTATCCCCAGGCACAGTTGCAATTCCCAGTACCGTATCTATTTTTCAATTTGAGAGGAAAAGGATTTGGGAGATTGAAGGCTCAGTGAGTTTTCCCACTGTCTGCCTGAAGGACACACTCTAATTCTGTTACTGAAGATTCAACAGATTCCCACTCCAAAATTGAACTCTTTACTACTAAGGAGCAAACTTCTTGAAAGCTATCTCTATGCCAAGGATAACTCTCTTTACCTACTACACCACAAGCACTTGTAGACTTATTTACCTGTCCCACAATAGTTAGTCTAGTTACAACTAAGCCTAAATGTTAGCCACTCATCTTTGTTTGATATATCTATTATGAAAGCTCTACAGCTTATGTGAATAAACTGATCTTACAAAAACAATTGCGGGATCACACCAAGATAAAGCAGCAAAGTCTTTGTTTACTCTCTTATATTATCCAGCTTGGCAAATGTTGCTCCCAAAATTCCAAGGGAATTGACATCTCCTTTAATACTTTCCTATTGCCCCAAAGCTGCTATCTATTCTGCTAGAGTCTAGAGAAACAATAGTTTGAAGGAGCAGGGCTATCTGGATCAGTGTTTGGAAGATAAATCGATGATTTATTCCTTTTTACTTATTGGTGGTGAAAAAAAGAAAAAAAATGCAATGTAGATACTGTATCGGTTTCTAGTTTGGCCTTAAAACCCCCCACTTCTTTCTGTTTAGCAAATTGCCCTATACAATAAGCCACCCTTTGTTCTTTCTAAAGTATCCCCCAAATCTACCTTGGTCTTTTTATATCTATTCAATGCAATAACAAAACCTTTTGGTTCTAATACATTAGAAATGCATTTTACTTAAAGTTCTTTTGTGCTGCTTGATAGCCTAGATTCTCTTGATGGTGTATATCAGAATGTTTATTATATTGAGAGATTAAAAATAACACATATATTTGAAGTACAATGCAAAAAGTTTAAAAAACATTGGGATCTAGTCTATAGCTTGCTCTAGGAGCCCTGAAACCTACCAGTTAACCAATTGCTGTCACAACTTTGTATAGTTTCTATTAAGTATTTTTATCATACTTTGGATAGTTTCCCAGTTAGTAAAAGAGATCCAAAAATACAAGAGAGTTAAGAATAAGAAAGATTTAGAAATATAAGAATTCAGTCCTATTAAGTGGCTGCTTGCCATCTATTTCTGCCTATGTTGGAAATCATTCTCACCATAGTGATGGTACGGTAGAGGTTCTCCCATACAAAATATCATTGCCAGCACCAGTGCAGAGTAACACATCTTCTGATGGTCTAGGGGAAAAAAAACATTAGCTCTAACAATATTGCCATGGTAGAGTATCATGTATTCATAGTCTCAGAATTTACCATGTTTTTCTGTACAGAATCTCTCTTCTATGTTGGACATCTATACAGCCACAACTGAAAAGCATTTGTAACAAAAGCATTAAAAACCCCACATATGGACGTTTCAAATTATTACATATCTCAGTATGAGGAGATAATATACACTGTACTGGCACACAACAACCACAAAGAAGCCTTGAGTGTAAATGTTCTACAACATGCATCAGTTTAGAGCTGATGTACATCATCATCTTCTCCTAATTTGGTTAAAGCTTCAAAGATATTTCCTCTGCTTGTTGAGCCACAGGAGTAGCTCCTTTCTGATACATTAAGAAGCACTACCTATTCTAGGAACTAGCAATGTTTCAGATGTTTAATACTAGCTTATGCTATAATAAAACCAATTATTGTATGCCTTTTTCTGACACTCTTTCCTTAAGCATACAGATGGCATGTTTCTGTTTTGAACTACCCTTCAGAAAATCTGAAATCCAAAAACTGACAAGGCTGGCTAAACTGTAAGGTAAGTTGACAGATTTATTACATAGCTAAGCAACTAGGCCATATTCTAACCCAACCTGCAAATACAGAACAATTAACTCCGTAATTACTTGTTGGCTGAGGAGAAATTGTGACCAGTTGAATCGTTGCCTGTTTCCAGATGTATCTTAAAGCTTAAAACCCTATAAATGTATGCGCAATCCCTTTACAAAATAAGGTAGGGTAAGTGGAAGAAGTTAATGCGCTGGACTGCACTCTTGGGGACGATGTGTTTTATGAAAACCTGGCTCTTTAAGAGGTGATTCTGAGCATAGATTATGGGATTTTATTTCACTCCTACTGACAAGAACCACATCCCCCCCCCCAATTGTTAGTGTCCACTAACATGGACTGTGGTTGTAACATGTTGACTGTTGTTGATTGTTTTCAAACTGTTCACTTCTAACAGGAAGAAAAACACAACAATTAAAAATACATAAAAGTTAAAAAAAGATCTCCATATAAAGTACATTTAATATAATACAAACATATCCTCTAGCTGTAACTGAAGTGCGTTTCCTAAAACAAAGGGAAGATTTTCTATGGGAAAGATCTGTCTAAGCAAATGTGAGTAGAAACCTTCTGAGATTCAGTAAGATTCCAGGTGTGCAATTTTGCTTCCCTTCCAAAGCACACAAGGATCTCATGCATCAACCTGTCCTAGAGTCTCCCACTACAGCATAATTTTCACTTGCAGTGTCTATACATGAATGCTCCACAGAATCACAGCCGCTGTCTTTCCTGAATCTTAATTAGTTGGCAAGTTCCAACAGGGGTTTATGCGAGAAATGCTGCATAAGAGGCACATGGCCAGCACGAAACACACTTTGTCCTATTTATCGTAGATGCAGAAATGTACTAAGTGGTATTATAGGCAATAATAAATGATCCAATGAAAGTCATTTAAATAAAACTGATGCTTTGGTTGTCCATCTTGCAAGATCACTGGCATAAATTTATTTGATATTAGAAGAAATTTGTCCCTTTCCTATCCATGTCATTTTATTTCACTCTGAGATGGCATGACTATCACTCTCCATCAGTTGGTACTACCAGTCACAGAAACATATGCTACCGGGAAATTAATAATTAGACTAATTGGACTTTGGAAAAAGTGCAAAGAAAAGCAACTAAGATGATGAAAGGCCTGCACACAAAAACATATGAAGAACAGTTGCAAGAAATGGCTATGGCTAGTCTAGAGAAATGATAGCAGTATTCCAGTATTTGAGAGGTTGCCACAAAGAAGAGAGGGTCAGCTTATTTCCCAAAGTACCAGAAAGCAAGACAAGAAACAATGGATAGAAACTAATCAAGGAGAGAAGCAACTTGGAATTAAGGAGAAACTTCCTAACAATGAGAACAATTAACCAGTGGAACAGCTTGCCTTCAGATGTTGCGGGTGCTTCATCACCAGAGATTTTAAAGAAAAGACTGGACAGCCACCTGTCAGAATTGGTATAGGGTCCCCTGCTTGAACAGGGGGTTGGACTAGACCTCCAAGGTCCCTTCCAGTTTGATTCTGATTGATTGAATCAGGATTAACAGGATTGACCTTAACATTCCTGAAAATGTGAAAAGAGGGCAGAGAAGTCCATGCTTTGGATGCATTCCCCTTGCTCTTATATAAAACAGAATAAAGAAACATGCTCTATAGGAGTCTTTTTCAAGCTAGACAACTTTAAGATGTGTGGACCAACTCCCAGAACACCACAGCCAGCATGCTGCCATGGGAATTCTGGAAGCTGAAGTCCACATATTTTGAAGTTGTCAAGCTTGAAAATCAGTGTATACCACTCACCTACTCAGTACAGGATGTGCATGCCATTTTTTAATTGTGACTCAAAGGCTGAGGGAAGGACTGGCCCAAAATGCTTTCAAGCCTAAAGTGGGACTAGAACTCACTGTCTCCTGGTTTTCAGCCTAGTGCCTTAACCACTAGACCAGTGTTTCTCAACCTTGACAATTTTAAGGCATGTGGACTTCAACTCCCAGAATTCCACAGCCAGCAATGCTGGCTGTGGAATTCTGGGAGTTGAAGTCCACATGCCTTAAAATTGTCAAGGTTGAGAAACACTGACTAGACCAAACTGGCAACCAACTTTCTGGAAGACTGCATCATTCTTCTACCCCTCCACCCCGTGCTGAAATTGTTTTTCAGCTTTAGACCTACACACTTATCACTGTAGCAGCTGTAACTGTTTTTCAAAGGGAATGGATGACAACTGGCAGCTGACAGACCACATCTGGTTCCCCCCTGACATCTTTTCTGAGTCCTTCACCTTTTATGTTCATCGCTACAGGCAGATTGCTTATAGAGATGAAAAACTAGGAGTAACTTTGAATTCTACTCATTTACTCTCCTGGCAGAGGAATGAATGTAGGGAGCATTTGGGCAGTTAACAAAACATTGCCAGAATTTTTAACTTATGGAGTTCATGCTTTGTTTAGAACAAACCAGGCCTCTATGAACAAAATATCCCATGCTACAAAAAAATTAATCTTCTCCAACGTACAGCTTCAAGCTTACTGCTTCCAGTGTAAGGCAATTCAAGTATAAAATATATCATTTACATTTTGTTACTATCGAACAAAGACCAGTAGCTGTTACTTGCTGAAGAGGGAAAGAGCAGGAATAATTAAAGATCTGCAAGAATTATATCAAACCATTAGAACTTCAAAAGATGGACAGCAGATAAGCCAGCGTAATTATTCCATAAATGCATTACTATGAAATTGCAAGATTTGTTTCAGTTACTTAAACTAAAGGAAATAAGAGTGTCACTGTTGTACAACAACTATGTATTTTTTAAAAAAGGAAGGTACAAACAATTCTGTGGAGAAAGCAACAAACAAGTGTATTCATTCTGAAGTTATAATACTGCAAATTACCAGGGGACTCTGCAGCTGATGGTAACACACACACAGAAAGCCAGTTTCAGAAGTGACCGAAAAATGCTTTTCCTACAGTTTTGGGTCAACATCAACATTTTATGAACTTAACATTAAGGTAGATCTTATTTTACTTTAAAGACTGCAAAAGAAAGCAGCAAGGAAGGGAAGGGTGATATTCAAAAAAGCAGGATTAACAGTAAAACTGTGTGTATAGTCTACATTGGGGGTCTTCAAACTTGGCCCTTTTATGACTTGTGGATTTCAACTCCCAGAATTCCTCAGCCAGGCAAGTCCACAAGTCATAAAAGGGCCAAGTTTGAAGATCCTTGGTGTACACTAACTTGGGCTAGTTGATGTAGAAATCAGATTACAACTGTTCTAGTTAACTGGGCCTTGCTGTATCTTATTAAAAACTTTCCAGAAGGACACTTCAAAGCTCTACAACCAGAGGTGTGACAGCAAAGAAACACTGTGGGACAAATTAACTCACAAAGGAAAACCGGGCAGTCATAATGCCAGGGTCAGTGAAGGCGTTGTATTGTTTCATCAAAATCATTTTGAATCTAGTGTTTTAGCATCCTGTATTTCTCTTTAAAATTGGGAAGCTAAAATTGGGACACTATGGAATAGCTACTGCAGGCTTGGCACCAATCTTAGTTGCTTGAGAGTCAGCAAGGATTATCCTGATCTCTGCCAGCCACAAAAAAGGATTAGACACTCTGCAATCTATCAGAAGATGGATCAGCCTCAGTTCTCAAGTTGCTAGCATCAAAATAAGCTTCCATCACTATACCATGCAAAGTCATTTTTCATGAGAAATCCTGTTTACAGTTCTTTGACAGCAACAGGGGGGAAAAAATCATCCAAGCACTGAGTTACAAAATAGCTCTTAGAAAGGAAGGAAAGCAGTGCAAAGTGTTTGCCATCTTTTGCCGCTTATTTGTTGCTGTAGTCCTCCTTTGCCAATTGTTATTTTAAATGAACTGCCATTTGAACATCAGTGAAAGAGCCATGATGTTTTGGTCATCAAAGAACACCTGCCAATCAACGCAGAGTCTCTAACACAGGGGTGTCAAACTGCCGGCCCATGGGCTGGACGCATCACATGGAAGCCACGCCCACCCCATTGCCAGTAATAGCAAAACCGGCCCGATACGTTGCGTGACATCACGTGATGTCGTGAGTTTGACATGTCTGCTCTTACACATTAACAGTGACATGTATGTAAGTTATATATAACTCATAGCCATGAAAAAGACATGCTTTGATTATAAAATATGGCAAGGAGCAAACAGATTGACACATTTTTCTGAAACTGATACCTCAGTAGTTGGACATGTATGGGGTTCATATTTTAACCTCACATGCCCCTCTGCTAATAGACGTGAATTGTTGGACATTGAAAAGAAAAGCAGAATTAAATGTAAGAATAGTAGCAATAGTAAGTAGGTGGAGGTGAGTATAGTGCCAATTTAAGTTCTTGCCATTTAGGAAACAAATGACAACCACAAAGCCAGAGTCTGACACCAAATAGATAGAAGGTCCTACCTACAAGGAAGTATCAAGAGACAACACAAATGCAAAAAACCAACACAACATGCATATTTTGTGTGAGTTTAACTGGAAATGCTTGGGCTTGGAAAGAGAAGGGGGAAGATAAAGACACAATAAGATTCCCTACTCATCTGGTTGCCAACAAATACAATTGTAAAAGAATATAAACACTGAATGGTTGATGGCAGGAATTTCTTAGAGGAAATGACTGAATATAGCAGAACATAATAGACTGACATCACTGAGAGACAGAATTGAATCCTGCTGTTTAGATGGCGGCAAGCCAGCACACCTCTTGAAGCAGAGGCAAACATCCTGCTAACATGAAGTGTCGGCAACATTTTGAAGCTCCACTATCAAGCTGCAAAGAGAAATAGCCTCCCCAAAGTTCTGCAAACAAACGTAGAAATATTTGGCCTTCTGACATGGCAGACAATCAATAAACTCCTGTGATAAAAAGAGAACTAATGTGTGAGTATGTGTACACAGGCAAATCTCAAAAGGACAGGCATAAAAAAATTTCCATATCCAGTACCTGGATCAGAATGTACCAAAGAGCAATTGCACAGTTATGTGAAAAGCTGGTTATTATGGCTGCATAGGATTTCGTATTCAAAGGATGCTTTAGGATGCATTACATTTGGCTGAGAATACTTCAGCCCAGCAAATCTTCTCCCAGATAAAGGTATGGCTACTTCAAACAATTGTACCTAGGTGCTACATTCATTGCCTATACCCCAAAGCACCTGTATGTCTTTGAATAAGAAGTACTACATATCCCTACTAAATGATTTCCAACATGACTTTGATATTTATTCAGGATTTCCCTTTTTCATTTTAATAATAATAATAATAATAACAACAACAACAACAACAACAAGAAAAAAAGCTTTGGAAGAATATCTGAAGAACAATGATGAAGATACACTGAAATTAGTATATCAGGAAGGCTTACTAACTACTGGAGAGACCAAACTGGCCTACAAGAAAGACCAAATGAAGAACAGAATAGAGGCATGGGAAGACAAAGCACTACATGGCCAATACATGAAAAAAATAGCTGGGAAAGCAGATAATAAGAAAACCTGGCAAGGGCTAAGAGCAGGAAAATTGAAGAAAGAGACCGAGGGACTAATTCTGGCTGCACAAGACCAAGCCTTAAGGACAAATGCATACAAAGTCAAAATTGAGAAGACAGCAACAGACAGTAAGTGCCGCCTATGCAAAGAAGCTGAAAAAACAGTGGACCACTTGGTAAGCTGTTGCAAGAAGATTGCACAAACTGATTACAAGCAACGGCATGACAAAGTAGCAACAATGGTGCATTGGAAGATCTGCAAAAAATATCATTTGCCTGTAAGCAAAAACTGGTGGGATCATAAAATAGAGAAAGTCATAGGAAATGATAAAATTAAACTGCTCTGGGACTTCAGAATTCAAACAGACAAGCACCTGCAACATAACACCCCAGACTTAACAATTGTCGATAAGAAAGATAAAAAAGTCTGGATAGTGGACGTGGCAGTGCCTGGAGACAGCAGAATAGAAGAGAAAGAACTGGAGAAGATAACAAAATACGAAGACCTACAAATAGAAATAGAAAGACTGTGGCAAAAGCAAGCAAGGGTAGTACCAATAGTAATAGGCTCCTTGGGTGCAATCCCAAAACAACTGGAGCACCACTTGAACAACATTGGCATTGACAAATTCGCTATTAGTCAATTGCAAAAGGCGGCCTTACTAGGAACTGCTTCCATCCTGCGACGATATCTGTAATAACATCAAACATTCACATCTGCCTATCCCAGGTCCTTGGGAAGGACTCGATAGGTAGACAAAATGCCAAATCCAGTCTGAACATCTGGCTGACTGTGCGATGATCCATAATAATAATAATAATAATGATGATGATGATGTTGTTGTTGTTGGAAGGGACCTTGGAGGTCATCGAGTCCAACCCCCTGCTCAGGCAGGAAACCCTACACCATTTTGGACAAATGGCTGTCCAGTCTCTTCTTAAAAACTTCCAGTATTGGAGCATTCATCGCTTCTGGAGGCAGATTGTAATTTTGTTAAGGTTGCCTGCCAGTTGCAGGGAAAAAGAGTCTTTTTATGATTGTACTTTTGTTGGTGCAGCCAAAATTAGCATTTTTTTTCTGCAGCCACATCATACTACTGGCTAATATTCAGTTTATTACTCCAAGAACTTTTGCCATGTAATAGTACCCACTTAGGTATTCCCAATCCTATACACGTTTGGCTTTTATTCCTTAAGTGAACTCTGCATTTGTCTGTTTTGTTCTGTTACTTTCTGTTCAATTTTCTAACTCACCAATATTGTTTTGATTTTTATTTCTGTCTTCTAGGATAGCCAGTTCGCTCAATTTTATGTAATCCACAAATCTGGTTATGTATTCCACCCATTTCTTTACCAAATCATTAATGAAACCTTGAAGCATAGAAGACCCAGAACTGAACCTTAGGACACCCCAGTCAATACCTCTCCCCAAACTGATGAGAAATCATTGAGTAAATAGCCTTATCTTTGGGAATAAATTTCAAACCAGCTACTGGCAGTGCTTTTTTTGTCATAGAGTGCACCAGAACAGAGTTCCGGCACCTTTTTTCAACGGATTTTCCAAGTTTTAAAAGTAACTTTTGAAAATTTGATGTTTGGTCCGTGCTGGTTGTGATGGCGCTGCTCTGCTTGTGGCACTGCTCGGCTTGTGATTGGTCATGTGGTTGCGTGCTGAATGCTTACTGCGAGCGGTGACTGCTATGTTTCGTTACACAACTGACGTGTGGGTGTGTGTACAGTGATTGACTATGTGCGAAAGGTAAATAATTTATTTTAAAAAAATCGTTGAATTGAAAATCTTTTTTTAATTTTTAGTGTAAAAGTGTGACCCCAAATTTAAAAATGAAAAAAAAAATACTAATTACTTCTCAACCACCAGTCCTGCTAAGAACTGAATATATAATTTTTTAAATAAAAGGTTAACAAGATGTGAGTTCAGGCACCTTTTTTCTTACAAAAAAAGCACTGGCTACTACTTTATATCTTCCACATTTTCATCCTCCAGTTCAGCCTTTGCCATCACCATGTTATGGGATATGTTGTCAAATACTTCAAGATATATTACATCAACAGCATTCTGAGATTCTTTTAAAGAAGTTATCATCATAGTCTTTAATGTAATTCCCCCCCTTACTACCTCTATCAAGGATTCTCAAAGAAAAGGAAGAGGTTATAACTGATAACTTTATTACTATACATTAGTTAAATCTATATCCAGATTTTCCACAATATCATGTTCAACACAGTCCATCGCTTCAATTACTGCAATACAGGTTTGGAATATATTCCTTAAGAGCCTCACAATGTAGTGACATGTCATCAGGAGAAGAAAAAAATATATTCTGTCTGAGCTATAGGAAGATTTACTATATAAAATATGCCTCACCTTGGGTATGAGTTTGCATATCACGGGCTAGCTCCATTGGCAGAACAGAATTAACCAGAGCAGAAATAATAGCAGCATCCAAATTACACATTGCTCCAAAACATTTCAGAAGCAGCAGGCGTAATGGAACTCTGTGTTCCTTAAGAAGAAAATGGTTTTTAATTAACAAAATACCCAACTCCAAATAATGCATGTTTCTTTTACTTGCTATTCAGAAAGTGACGCATTCCAGGTAAACTCAGAAAATAATTATTCTGTGCTGACCGCAATCATTTCAGTAAGCAAACATTAAACATTATCTATTTAAAACATTTATACTGTACAGTCGCTCACCTTATATCAAACTCTGGATGACTCCCAATCAACAATTAAATCAACATAAAGCCATATTAAACTATGAAACCTGTAAATATTAAAACAAAACCTGGCGTTAAGACCCCTGATGCTATCCCAGTGCTTTGGGGGAAACGTCAGGTCTTCGGTACTTTTCAGAAGGCTAGGAGGAGAGAGGCCTGCCAAACGTCAGGGGGAATAATGTTCCATAGGTTGTGGCTGCCACTAGAAAAGGCCTGCTTCCTAGCTCTGTGGCAGTGGTTAAAGGAAGGGATTGGGAGCGTGCCCGCTCTATCTAACCTGGTAGGATGGAGAGATGTCCTTAGGGAAATGCACTCCTCCAGTTAACCTGGACTGTGCCAATATATAGGGCTTTAAAAGCACTTTGAATTGCACTCTGAAGGAAGTTGTAAGCCAGAGCATCTCACACAATTGAGGTATTAACACGGGTAAACCTAGGGACACCCATCACTATGCATGCTGCCTCATTCTGGACCGGATAAAGATTCTGGCCATTGGATCATACTTTAGCGTAGGCGCAGTGTTTCCCAAACTTGACAATTTTAAGGCATGTGGACTTCAACTCCCAGAATTCCACAGCCAGCATTGCTGGCTGTGGAATTCTGGGAGTTGAAGTCCACATGCCTTAAAATTGTCAAGTTTGGGAAACACTGGCGTAGGGCTGCCTTCCCTGTTATTTTTATTAATTAGTCAGACTGATTGGAGATTTAGAGACGGGGGGGGGGTTGGGGAGAGAAGAGCATCCTTATAGCTATGCTGTCTTATTTGTATGTTCAAATTTATTAACATACAAGGAAGAATTAAACTATTCAAGATGCGGTCAAACTTATATGCCCTAAATGTAACGCCATACCATCTGGTAATATGTCACAAGAGATAATACTGATTCAAACTCGTTCCTCCTGCACATCTTCTTGCATACTTCTGGATCTGCATCTGTCTGTAAAAAGGAATGGGAAAAAATTAAAGTTCAGAATAGAGCAACAAAGGCCCAATTATTCCAAAATCTAGTCTATTTCCAATATGGTAATGCTAAAAGTAAATGTGCATTAAAACAGAATTTGCCTAGCAGAATGAAGAATGTTTCTTTCCCTTCCTCCCTCCCTCCCTCTCTTGGGTAACACTTCTATTTTATATAAGTTCTTACAGGAAGAAATACCTAAGAAGCTTTGGAATAAAGTCATAAACAATTTACTTGAAAAAGAGCCAAACCCAGATAAAAGATGAATGTTATTGTTATGTCCCGAGCCTTTGCAAACGGCTCGGGCGTTTGCAGGCAGTCCCGGGCAGGTGCAAAGCTGCCCGGGACCAGACAGGCTGTCGCCAGCGCCGTGCGCATGCGCGGGTGCTGGCGCGGGAAAAGTAACCCATTTACCCGGGAGTTGCCTATATAAGAGGCTGCGAGGCGTTTGGGCGTAGCTGAAGCCATCTTCTGTAAGCTGAACGCTGAATAAAAGAAACTGAGAACTCCAGCTGCTTCTCGTGTCTGTTTTCCCGCCACGGACTCAACACTGGCGACGAAGGTGGGATGCCTTGCACTACCTGGAAAGGAAGAAGTGTAAGCTTACCCAAGGAGTCCTGAGCGGCGGAAAGGAACGGCGTCGACTCGGCAGCTGCCCGCCAATCCGCTGCGCATTCGGGGGTAGGCTGGCTGATAGACCCGTCTCCTGAAGATCTGAAGATGGCAAAAATCGGAAGGCTTTCGGAATTCGACGTCTCACATCCAGAGCGGTGGGAGTCCTACGTATCCAGAATGGAGAACTACTTCAAGGCAAACCAAGTGAGGGGAGATAGCTTGAAGGCCGCCACCCTGCTTTGCGTTTGCGGCCAAGACGCCTTCGAAATCGCAGAAAATCTTGCAGCACCTGTTCCAGTAGAGTCTGTAAGCTACGCAGACCTGAAGAAGCTGCTGAAAGAGCACTTACACCCCAAGGTGTCCGTTATCTCATGGCGCCACACCTTCGAGCAGAGGGATCAACGGTCCGGTGAAACAGCCAAGGAATACATCGCCGCGCTACGGAAGGCCGCCAAGCCCTGCGAGTTCAAGGACCTCGAGGAACGACTGAGGGACCGATTCGTGTGCGGGCTAAGGCATCGAGAGCTACAACAGAGACTTTTTGCCAAGGAAGAATTATCCTTCCAAGACGCCTTAAGGGAAGTCACCGCAGAAGAAGCAGCAGGCGGCGCCATCAAAAACATGCGGCCGATCAGAAACAGTGCAGAGGGTGCGTCCGTGCACCAGGAAGACGTCCGACGAAACTCCGAGGAGGATCCGGACGAGGAAGTCGACCGTCTACACCCCGCGAAGGAAGAGAACCAGAAGGGAAGCTCTTCGGCTCTGCTCAAGTGCATCGGCTGTGGAGGTCGCCACAGGAGAACCGACTGCAAGTTCCGCTCCGCTACCTGTCGGGCATGCGGCAAACAAGGGCACATTGCAGCTGTGTGTCTGGGCCGACGAAAGGCACAACCCCAAGAAGAACGCCTGAAGGGTACCAGATTCCCCAGCCAGAATAGGGTAGGTTTTTGCGCTTCGCGAAGAAGCATCTGTAGAACAGGCACACACAAGCCCATGAAGAAAAAGCTGTCACTCAACGTGAAGCTACAAGGGGTTCCATTATCTATGGAACTAGACACAGGGTCTGCCCTGTCCATCATTTCATTGCATACATTTAGGAAGATTTGTTCCAGAAGTGGGTCTAAGGCCAAGTTAAGGCCTTCTGATATTGTATTAACAGATTTTCAGAACTCAAGAGTGTGTGTTAAGGGGGAGGCCACCCTTAACGTGCAATACAAGAGTTTTGAAGGTCCACTAGACTTATTAGTAGTAGGGGGTGAACGAACGAGTCTCATAGGACTCGATTGGTTTGAGGCCCTGGGGATACACGTCACAGGACTCAACAGCTTACAAACACTCGACCTACAGGAAGTCTGCAAAGAATTTGCAGATGTTTTCAGCCCCCAGCTGGGCACATTCAAAGGACCACCTGTGTCCTTAAAGCTAGACCCCACTGTCACTCCCATTAGGATTAAAGCAAGAAGGGTCCCTTTTGCTTTAAAAAGTAAGATTGACACTGAACTAGACAAACTAATCCAACAGGGAATCCTAGAACCTGTTGATTCCAGCCCGTGGGAGACCCCCATTGTCACGCCTCTAAAGGCAAATGGGGACATTCGCATTTGTGCTGATTACAAATGCACACTCAATAAGGCATTGCAGCAACATGCCTATCCTGTTCCTGTGGTCAGTCACATCCTGGCCTCTCTCAAGGGGGGGCGTGTTTTTGCAAAGCTTGACCTAGCTCAAGCATATCAACAGCTGCCTGTTGATGATGATGCTGCCATAGCTCAGACCATTGTGACCCACAGGGGAGCCTTTAAAGTAAAAAGGCTACAGTTTGGAGTAAATGTCGCTCCTGGGATTTTCCAAAGCGTAATGGAAAACACACTACGAGGTATACCAGGGGTCTGCCCCTACTTTGACGATGTCTTGATTGCAGGAGACTCCACACACATTCTAGCTGAAAGACTTAGGGCTGTCCTGTTAAGATTCAGGGAATCAGGCCTCAAGCTCAGAAAAGACAAATGCAAGATCGGGGTGCCTTCTACTGAATTTCTGGGATTCAAAATTGATGCTGCTGGGATTCATCCTGCTGAATCCAAACTAACTGCTATTTTACAAGCACCCAGGCCAAAGTCTAAGGCCGAACTTCAGGCCTTCCTAGGCCTCCTGAATTTCTACAATTCTTTTCTTCCACATAAAGCTAGTGTAGCTGAGCCTCTTCACAGGCTACTAGACAAACAAGCTGTGTGGCTGTGGTCACAAGCACATGAGGCTTGCTTTAAAGAAGTCAAGGCCTTGCTCACTTCTAACAGTGTTCTTGCACATTTCAACGAGTCTCTTCCTGTGTGCATCGCTTGTGATGCATCCCCCTACGGGGTTGGAGCTGTCCTGAGTCACCTCAGGTCTGATGGAACTCAGGTTCCTATTGCATACTACTCCAGAACACTGTCTTCTGCCGAGCGCAACTACGCTCAGATAGACAGGGAGGCTCTGGCTGTTGTTGCTGGAATTAAAAAATTCCACGATTTTCTATATGGCAGGCATTTCACGGTCTTCACTGACCATAAGCCTCTGCTGGGACTGTTTACCACACGTAAGCAGACTCCCCACATCATTTCCCCTAGAATGCTTAGGTGGTCTATTTTCTTGTCTGCATATGATTTTTCATTACTCCACAAGCCTGGGAAAGAAATGGGCCATGCTGATGGCCTCAGTAGGTTGCCTCTGCCAGTAGTAGAAGCTGACCCCGCGCCAGCTGTCAACATTCTATCAATCCAAGCCTTGCCCGAGCTCCCTCTTAGTGCCAGGGATGTTACCGCTGAAACGGTACAGATCACACACTTTCACGTGTCCGCTCCTGGGTCCTGTCCGGGTGGCCTGAGCACTGCCCTAGTCCTGAGTTTCAGAGTTTCTGGTCCAAAAGGAACGAACTGTCCCTTTCTCAGGGTTGTCTGCTTTGGGGAAACAGAGTTGTCATTCCCACCTCAATGAGGACTAGGGTCTTAGAATCCCTCCACGAGGGTCATCCTGGCATTGTTCGTATGAAGGCTCTTGCACGAAGCCACTTGTGGTGGCCTGCTTTAGATAAAGATATTGAGGCTAAGGTGCACGCATGCCACCTCTGCCAACGATCTCGCCCAGAGATGCCCCAAGCTCCTGTGCATAGATGGGAGGAAACACAGTCCCCATGGTCTAGGGTGCACATTGACTACGCTGGGCCCTTTCAGGGCCAGTTCTTCTTGGTCCTTGTTGACAGCCATTCAAAATGGCTTGAGGTTGTGCCTGTCTCATCCACCACCACTGCAAAGACTATTCAGGTACTGAGGGGGATTTTTGCTGCACACGGGCTGCCAGATGTCATCGTGTCCGACAACGGCCCTCAATTCACCTCCTCCGAATTCCAAGCTTTCTTACAGGCAAACCTGATTCGTCATGCCACGTCTGCGCCTTTTCACCCGTCCACCAACGGTATGGCGGAACGCATGGTGCGCATCGCAAAGGACGCCTTGAAGAGACTCACCTACGGGGACTGGCATCACAGGTTGGCTGACTTTCTCCTTTCTTATCGCACCACACCGTCCACTTCTACAGGGAGAAGTCCAGCTGAACTTCGTTGGGGGCGCCAACTTACTACTAGACTTGACCGGTTGCATCCGGACAGACTGCCTTCATCTACCTCACATCCTAGGGCACCTAGACAACTACTTGTGGGTGCCCCGGTTTGGGCTCGCAATTACGGGCCTGGTCATACATGGGTCCCCGCTTCTGTGTCCAGGATCACAGGTCCTCTCTCCTACGAGGTTGCCCTGGACAACGGTCGTGTCCTACGTCGGCACATCGACCAACTTCGCTCTAGGCGAGACTTTTCTGCTGAGACTCCTGGGTCTTTTCCAGGGGGGGAGGGGGACCCTTTGGAGCAAAGGGAAGGGCAAGAGTTACTGCCCATCTCCACTGAGGGAGCCACAAACGGCCCATCCCAGGGTTCCGCGAGAGCTCCGAACAAGAATTCCATGAGCTTACCTAACTACCAGGCATCCACGCCTACTCCAGCCAGGGAGTCACCCCGGGGGCATACTCACGTTCCACACACGTCACACAGCACTCCAGTCACGGAGGATACCCGGGGGCATCCCAACAAATCATTCCCCGCAAGAGAGCTGGCACACAATCCCCAAAGTTGGCCTGACCTTACCCCAAATCCTACAGGGGGTCAAACATACACAGAGCTAGTCGAGGAACCAAGTCCCGACTACAACAACCCTAGCACAAATCAGGGAACACCTGAGTTTTGGGAAAGTACAGAAACCCACACGAGCCCGAGCACAGAATGGGGTTCAGGGAATGGACAGCCTCCTGACAGGTCTTGGACTGACCTAGGAGGTTCTACAGAGACGCCCAGCAGTGGCTATCACTTCAAGGGGCCTGAGGGTCTACAGCTAGGTAGGTCAACCAGGTCACAAAGCAACAGAAGCCCTGGCCTGACGAGCCCGGTGGGCAAGCAAGCAGGCCAGGCATCGGGGCACAGTCCTTGGAAGACACCAGGGCACAATAGAGAGAACAGGCTCACGCCTCCCTCCAGTCAGGGGACTTATGCCAGTAACCCACAGCTAAGAAGGTCACAGAGAGCAAAGAAATCTCCTAAGTACCTAGAAGACTACATAACATTGCTGGCAAGGCAAAGGCCAGTAAACAGTGGGAGCACTGGGGAGCAAAATGTCATATAAAATAAATGTTGTATGTTGGTAGTAGTTTTAGCCCGGGGGAAAGGGGTGTTATGTCCCGAGCCTTTGCAAACGGCTCGGGCGTTTGCAGGCAGTCCCGGGCAGGTGCAAAGCTGCCCGGGACCAGACAGGCTGTCGCCAGCGCCGTGCGCATGCGCGGGTGCTGGCGCGGGAAAAGTAACCCATTTACCCGGGAGTTGCCTATATAAGAGGCTGCGAGGCGTTTGGGCGAGACTGAAGCCATCTTCCTGTAAGCTGAACGCTGAATAAAAGAAACTGAGAACTCCAGCTGCTTCTCGTGTCTGTTTTCCCGCCAAGGACGCAACAGTTATTATTCACTTAGAGAGGGTTAAAAGTTATCTAATGAGCTTGACAATTACTGGAACATTTATTTATGACTACACCTGAGATGAGTTAGCCCAAGAGGCACCAACATAATATTTAAGATCTCATCTAACTTGACTGTAGCGTTAGGAATGTTATTATTATCTTAGCTAGAAGGTAACATTTACTGTTCCATTTGAGAATTTTAATTTTAATTTTTTGGCACCAAAAAATTTCAACTTCTCTTGACCCCAAGGGACTCTATTTTAGGATCTGCCCATCCAGCCATCAAGTTATCTTATCACTCACTTTCCATTTGTAATAATCAAAGTGCTGAGCAAATAAACTTTATAAAGAGCCTGTCTCTTCCAAAGCAAAAAATTACCAGAATCTGAAGCAGTTCCTCCAAGTAACAGCAAATGACATTTTCATCTTCATAGAGGGCCCAACTCCGCTGTTGGGCATCATCTTTGTGCCGGGCCAGATCTGTAAATATCACCTTCAGTCTCTCTTCATCATGGCAAATTTGACCAGAAGGCAAACCTGAACAGAGATCCTGCAAGAATAAGAAATAATGCACCATCTTAACAGGAAGCATTACTGCAGATGCTCCTTTCAAATAGTTGCTAATATCTGACATATGTTCAATACTGTCTAGCAATAAGGTGCATTTTTTTTAATGGAAGCAAATTTCTTTTGGACAATATATAGTTTTCTAGACTTACAGGTTTTCTGAAATACTTAGGCAAATGCTGAAAAGGACAAAGCCTACTGTCTGATAACTTTATATGGAAATCCTAAATTTGCCTCTTTGAAATATGGTCCTTTGTTGTCACAAACAACAGCTTATGAATTTCTATCCCTGCAGTACAGGTAGTCCTCGAGTTATCACCATTTGTTCAGTGATTGTTTAAAGTTACAATGGCACTTGATTTAAAACTGGTCCTTGAAGTTCTAGCCTTTACAACACCTCCCTCCTCCCCCCCCCCTTTGCTTACTCGCAGCCAACAGCACCCTCCTTTCCTGGGGCCTCCGTGTACTCATATGCACGTACCTCAAACCGTCTTTTCTTGGCCACAGCATGCCCTTTTTCCCAGCTTCACATAAATGCACCCCACTTCTCTTTCCCTGGCCTCCCTGAGCTTGCATTCGTGCACCCTGCACTCTCTTTCTCCAGCCTTCCTGTTCACATGCTTCTAAAACAATTATCTATGATATAGGGTAGGATATAGGTTACTCTGTGAGAATTGAGAGAATAGACTGCTGGACCTGAAGGCTCAGGGGTCCAATCCAGCAGGGCACTGCTTTCTTAGTCTTAATCACCAGGAGAGCTTAATGTATCTTTCAACAGAAGTTCGCTAGCTCCTTAAACAAAGGAAGGTATTTTTTTTTAAAGAATATCGGAATCGTCTGAATTATTATTCCCTAGAAATTCAGCAAAATAATAATAATTATATAATTATGAATTCAACAGATCGCAAATTCCTTCTGAACTGCATGTGATTCCTAGAGCTAGAGAAGAAAAAAAAAGACAATTCTCTACCACAGGGCACAGTTGGTAGCATCAATTGTGCCACTGAGAAGCTTTTGCTATACTCGTTACCTCTGAGAGAAAAAGATAGAGGCAGACTACTCAGGTGACCTTGAGGATACAGATAAAGCTCCAAGTGGGCTCAATGACTCTCTAAAAGAATGCAATTGACCAGCTGTCTGCAAGGAATATAAATCCTTCCATTCCCCCACCATCCAGTCAGAGCTGAAGAAGCTTCTTGGATGAGAAGCAAAATGTCTTCAAAGAAAAACAAGAAAGTCCAGTTGCCTCTTGAAAAAGCACCTTTGGGACAACCATGACCTGGATGAATGTGACTCTCCAAAGACATTCAGGCTTTTAGAAAAGAACCAAACAGATACATACACAATATTTCTGATTAAACGTCTAGGGAATTAAAGATTTTGTACTTTTAATTTTAAGATGCAATTACAACCACTACCCTGATTAGTCTTGCTAGTAGTTTACCAACCTACAGAAACTTTGTAATGAGGGAAACCTGTGACTTTTCCATCTGCAACAACTCTTAGGTTTAGCACCCTCAAAAATAGGGAAAACCAAGAAAAATGATCCTAACAATTAACTAAGTCTTCCCTCGTATTAGCTCTAGTTTTTTTTTTCATTTGTATGACATCACTGAAGTTAATTTAGAAGATCTTGCAAAATAGTCTTCAAGCAATTTGCTTGCACTGATGCTCCTCATTTAGTGACTTCTTTGCTTAGCAACCATTCAGTTATCACAGTAATGAAAAAGTAACCTTATGACCAATTCTCAGATTCCCATCCTTCACAGGTTTGTAAAACAAAGGAAAGCTGAAGCACAGTCGCAGTCTGCTCTGTTTAACAACTGAATTGTCAGTCACAATTGTGGTTGTTAAATTGTCAGGTGCGAAAATTCAAGTCCACCCGTGAAGGTTCAATTAAACTGATTTATTGCTAAAGCCTGTAGACAGGAATCTCCTCATTTAATGATAAACACCTGGTTAGAGTTAGATAAGGGACAACGACACTCAAGAGGGGTTGGACTTAATTCGCTTGTGGCTATGTAAGGATTCTAGGCTGATCCCTCTTTTCATTCCATCCTCAGGTTCTGCCATTCTTTCTCCTACATAAACAAATATTATCTGTACTATAATCAGTGTTCTGCTTTGGAGTTTCTTCATATGAAAGTTATTACTGTATTAGAGAAGCAATTATCTTATGCTGTTATTTGGCATTATATATCATATAGCAGCTATTATCTTTTTCTCCTTATGTTTGGTTTTCAATAAGTGTAATATTTGGAGGTGTGTTTCGCATTCCAATTAATTCACCTTGCAAAAATACTTTGCATTTGCCTTCTGAGAACACTTATGATCAACTATTTTTTTTCTGGAATTACCTGTAGATGGATGATATTTCAGGCAGAACCAACTCAAGATGGAAAAAAATAAATTTCAAATATATTACCTGCTTTACAAACATCTCCCTCCCTCTCTCTCTCTCTCTCTCCCTCACTTTCATAATTTTTTACTTATTTATATCCCACTTTTATTATTTCTACAAATAGGGGACGAACATATCCAACCATATTCCTTCTGCAATTTTTTTGGTTTACAAAGTTTCCAAATATCTTCTTTTCATTTTAAAAAAATCTGCAAATATGTTAATTTAGAACACAGGAGATCAGAACCACATCTTGCGCTGTAAAAAGCTGTGCCAAATCCACTTGGATTACTGTATGATGATGATGGCTGCTATTATCAGGTATTGCCTTTCTGCACAATATAACAATCAAAGAAGTTGATCTTTTTTATCATCACTCACAGGTATCCCTGGAGGCTGAATGAGGTTAATATCACTTACAGAACACCACAAGAAGTATCATTTATAGTAGTATCCTGAAAATAAAAATGCCTATTCTATTCAGAACCCTGGGAAACAGAAGGCAAACAGGTTCAACAATTAGTTATTACGCATAAAAGCACTTTCCTTGAAGATATGTACAACCAGGGTAGTGCAAATATCGGCATAGAATATCTTTTTGCACAGTAATTCCTGTAAGATAGATGGCAATTCAAAAACCTTAAAACTGATAGGGTTCTGCACCAACAGCCATATTTATAACATGATTAATCAAATGAATTCACAACTACAGAAGAAGTGTAAACCCATTATTAATTTCTTGAAAATAGGTCACCCTGAAAACTTTTTTTTCCCAAGTTTGGGTACTTCCTGTTTTCCCATAAAACTTGAAACACTAGACTGACTTTTCTCAGCTTGCACAAAGTAACAACAACAACAACAACATTAATAATAATAATAGAACTTGGAGGTCTTCTAGTCTAACCCCCTGCTGAGGCAGGAAACCCTATAAGATAGTGCCTGAAAATCTAACTAGAAAAAGATGCAAATATTTTGCTGGGTTTGGGGTTTTTTTAGGTTTAAAGATAATAAGACTCCTTTCTTCTATCACTCTAGTCCAGGGGTCCCCAATTCCTGGTCTGTGGACTGGCGCCGGGCTATGGCATGCCAGAAACTGGGCCGCACAAACAAGCACAGCCCCATCCACAGGATGCAGGCAGCATGCAAAACCATGCACCCTCCAGTCTGCGGAAAAACCTCTCTCCACAGAATTGGTCCCTGGGGCCCAAAAGGTTGGGGGCCGCTGCTCTAGATGTTTTAATATACAAAATAAACAAGACACTGTTATCTCTATATTTTCTTCCATTTCTCCTCCATTTGTTAGGGAAGAGACATTATACTCAAGATGCTGAACTGTAGCACTGGCATTACTTACGGTAAGATAATAATTTTACTTCTTGATGACAAATAATACTTCCTGTTTGGGAGGGAGGGGGAAGAAAGTGCTCTGCTTGCCACCTTGAGTTCCTGATAGAAGTCTGGGATTAAAAACAAATAAACAGCTATCTAGTAGGCGCTTTAACCCTGTCCTTATAAAAATATGATCTTTTAGCAGAAAAAGCAACACATTTTTGCGGTTTTCCATGAATATCTTGGAAACTATCACCCAAAGAATGAACCCTGTACTCTAATAAAGAACAAGTCACAGGTTATAGTAGATGGGCAGAAGATTTTATCTCTGACTGACTTGTAGTCAGTCCTGCTAGCCTTTTGGCCTCTCTTTTTTGAGAGTCAGAATAATAAAGGTGAGTTTGGCTTCTGGTGACTTCATGGAAATATCCTTGAAAATAATGTAGAGATTGTCACCTTCTGAAGTGTTTCCCAATCTCACACACAGATCTGGGATTTCCTGGCAGTCTGCCATTCAAATATTAACAAAGTTCAAGCCAGCTTAGTTTTCAGGCTTCTATTAACATTACAGTATTCTGATAGCAGCAATGGAAGGAGCCAGCCCATTATCCTAAATTATATTGCTGGAATGAAAAAAACCCCTAACCCTTGGTATTCAATATAACCAATTTAGGGATGCCTTGATAATAGTTCTTGCACAGCAAGGCAGTGAGTTCCATTTAATTCCAATTCTCAGATAATTGCTTGGCTTATAATTTTTTTCTAAAAAATCACAATTTTCTGCCAATTGTCACACTGTACTTTGAATAATGAATTCCAAAACACAAGATACAGTATTCAGCAGGCTTGAAATCAGCCTACTTTTGATTTATTAAAAAAAAACCTGCTGCTTTCAATAATCATATCAGCTTGTTTCCTTTTAACATTCCCTTCCTCCTTTGCTATTAATTCCAAGTATTAAATGAAGCCTGATGTATAAATAAAAACATATGCCAAATACTTGGGGTTTGTCAAAACCTTTATTTTGACAATCAACATTCATGCTTGCTGAAAGAGACTTAAATGGAATTTTACACCATGAAGATTCAATCTGATAGCATTTAAAGTATCCATATTCATTTTTTAACCTAGGATGATGCTTTATTTATACATTCATCTGCACAAAACACTTACACATAGCTAAGGAATGATGGCCAGATGTTAGTTTTACAAACTGCCATGTAGCAATTTTTCAGCCAAAGCAATTTACCATA